TAGTTAACCTCCCTTCCCCCCCTCGCTCGACGGAAAATTCTTGGCTGAAAAACTGGAAATTTTTCGGGAAAAAATGGAAAAAGTGGTAGGAAGTTGGGAAAATCTAGGAAAGTGGTAGGTAGCATGGGAGGGGGGTCGTATTTGAGGATGGAATCAGGGGGTCGTATTTTTTAGGTGGGGTGCGCGTGGCTGATGGACGCTATTGGTCGCTGGTGGACGCTTTCGCAAAGTATGAAACGCAGCCTAAATGACCCGTCTTCAAAGTCTGTCAGTAGTACTGTGAGTAGAGATATTGATTAATGCTTTATTAAACTGACGTACAAATAATAATCTTTGTTGTACTTCAAACAATTCATGGTGATTTATCTTATTGAGCATGTAATACAATCCCTCTGAAACGACCAATCACCAGATTGGTTAGCACTAGCGGTGAAAATGTGATTCTAATGCACAATACATACATACTAATCCTGCTATATCAATACTACAAACGTTTCGAAAAAAAAAGAATTTTCTACCGGGAACAATGAAGGCTAAATGGCCACATTGCACACAAGTGCTTACATACCACAATTTTCATAAACGAGTAATTTCATAAAAGTTAATGCGATCGTTTCATATGTTCCGGAACGCTTTGAGCACAAAATATTCACCAAGATAGTGTAACATATAGAGCTGGGATAATCGAGGTCAAAGCGTTAAGGAATGATTTGAACTATTACATATGACACTACAGAAATTACTGAGCAGTAATGAATCGAAAGCATTGGATTCCGTGCATTTCCTATGATTTTTGCGATATTTTTTTTCTCAAAAACATTGAATGTTAATGGAATCCAAGACGATCGTGAAACGACCTGACAACCACTGAGTGATTGAAATTGGCGATATTTGCATCGGGAGTTATAAAATGAAAAATTTGAATCGATCAATAAGAACACACCGATAGTAATGCTACAACATTCACAAAAAGAAAATGTATGATGAAATTATCACGTCAACTATGATAATAAGGGAAATGTATGAAGGATTTCATATATGTACTAGTATCTACCGGTGCTGAAGGTATTGCTCGCGACGGTGGATGTAAAATAACCGTCAAGACATTACCCAATCACTTACTACAACAGTACCTGTGTTGCAATCAAGACGATATATTGCCCGTTACAGTCGAGTTATCATCGTCGGAAGTGTCCAGTTAGTGTTCAGTTACACAAGTAACGATCAAAGTAGATGACATATGTTTCTATTGACGTCTTGTGTGTGGGTGTGGGTGGATGTGGGTGGCACTTCGTCGGATGTATGATTATTACACTCATTGAACGCACACGTATCGAACGAATACAACGACATTTAACGTTGATGTGATTAGCTGTCAAAAAGCTTTTTAACAACCGTGAAATTTTGTATATACATAATGACCTGGTCGACGATTTCTAGCGAACGCGACTAGGGGGAGGAGGACCATCGAAAATCGGGTTTACAATGATGCTAACGAGTTGTGGTGATGGGCTCCATTTCGGCTACAGAAACGTTTGATTCTGTCATTCGATTGAAACTTTGTTCACTCTTCAACATGTATGTCGTGCTCTGCGTTGTACCCAAACATTTCGCTGCCTGAAACAGAATTTGTTTGGATTGGAAGATTGAAAGAGTGAGGAGTGGAAATTAACTACTGCACAAAGAAGTTCAGAGTAAGGGACCACCGTAGGAGGCGGTTTGTCAGTAGGAAGGTAGCGGATCGTATTTCATTTTGAAAGATTGTTTTGTTATGATAATTGCAGTTTACCCCGCAGTTTGCGCTGAGAATTGTGCTTATTACAAGAATGCTGAGTTATGGGCAAAAGTCTTGACTCCAGGCAGGACTCGAACCCACACCTCCCCTTTCCGGACGAGTGCGATATCCGTTACAGCATTAGGGCCGCTCCTCGCCCTCAGCTTCACGTCCTTTACGCCGAAGCCTTGCAACGCTCACACGTGCTCTAAGGCTATGGCATAAAAGTTGAGAGGGTAGGAGCTGAGATATGTTTGATAACGTTCACATAAGTCCTACGTGGGTGGCTACGTTTGTACTGTAGTGTCCAGATGCCAGATTGTGCTCGAGGCAGGACTCCGTACGGGCTTCGGGAACCCATGTTGCTCAGGAGGGGGCCAGGAGTTTAGGTGATCTTCATGTTTTGCAACAATTATTTTATTGTTGATTTTGCAGCATCAAGAGTCAATCGACACCCTCCCGGACGTTGGAAAAGGGGAGGGAAGGGGTGGGGGGGGGGTAGGTGTACTCTGAGAAATCCCGCATTGGGATGAAGCATCCCTTTTGGACCTGACCGTTAATAAGCATCACAGGTGTCGAAAAGTGTCGTTTTTCACACTAAGCGCCGCGCGATTTTTTCACGCGGGCCTGCCGCTTGCCGCGCGCAATGAGAACCGCGCGGCAACTGCAGTTGGAGTTGCCATTGCCACACAAAAGTGGGCGTTTAGGTTGCGCGGCTTACGATAGGCATCCACGGCAAGGTCAAATGTGCTTGAAGGAATCATCAGCGGGGTCGTATTCATTATCTGGGACGGAAGGAAGTATTCAGCTTGATCAATATTATTTTTGGTTGCTCCCTTTCCAGGCGATGCACCCGTCAAAATAGTGGCGCGGCAGTTATATATTTGTAGTAGCAAAGATGAGCTCTCTATGTACATCTTTCAAGGCTAGACTTCTTGGTTTTTCAGATGTTTTTTATGGTAGTTCCCATCAAAGAGGGAAATCCGGAAGGGTCCTACGTGGCGAGGGTTTTTCTCGGACCGACGCTCAACCTTCTTTGCGACGCGTGACGTTAACAAATCCCACACACTTGAGTGAAAACACAAAAATAGGTTTTTTAGGAAGGAGTCTTACCGCCGGAATATCTGCCTCAAGTTTCCAGATCTTGAAGTACCGCAAGAACCAGACGCTAAACGTGGGCAGGATGGCCAGCAACACCATACCAAGAGCGATGAACATCGCCCATATCGGATACTCGGTTTCGACGAGCTTTGTCTGAAACAAAATGATACATTATTTTGAAAAGAAAATCGCTTGGCTTTCACTGACGTTGGCTTCATGGTCAACAGATTTACTTGTACTTAAGCACCATTTAAGGCAGTTGGCACAATAAATCCCTAAGACGAGTAGTATTATTACGCCTAAAGGACGGAGTTCGCGACCCTAAGCAGGCGCTGCGTAGCGCCTTTTCTAAGGAAGTTGCGCTCATAAGGCCCTACAAGCTACAACAACTGACTCGAACGCCCACCCACAAATGGACGACCGTACCTGATGCTCGTATTGCTTCATTTGCTAAGTAAAATATGAAGCGAAGGGATTGATATGAAGCGGCTGCGGTGCTCCATGGATATAATACATACCTGCAGCCGTACCTACAGTAGCGTTATTGGCACGATGCCTACGAGAAACTCGTCCGAATTGCTTTTCGAGTCATAAGAACGAAGGCTTTTCTTCGCAGGTTTTTGACCGTTTCACTTCGTTTTTTCGCCATTTTCCCACTATATAGGGCCCTGCTAGCATTTCAGGCCAAGTGCCAAATTATCGTGCCAACTGCCGTCAAGGTGGTCGTTGCTGCAGTGAAAGACGCGGGTCTAGGCCTCGGCACTCGTCTCAGCTTAGCTGATCACAAAC